GACCCGGGTTCGAATCCTAGCATCCACATGGCAGCTAACAACTGTCCATAACTCCAGTTCCAGGGGATCCAAAAGCCTCTTCTGTCCTCCGCAGGCATTGCATGACATGGGTGCACTTTCCTACAATGCAGGCATAACACTCATACACATAAAATAAAAATAATAAATATTTTTTTAAATTGAAAACCTTTTTATATAAACAAAACCAAAATTATAGTTTAGGTTAAAAGGATATTTTAAAAAAAGCACAGACTAGCAACTTAATACTGAAAATTCAAGTGAATTACAAATTAGAGAGAGCTAAGCAGCCAGAACTATTTATCCCGAAAACACTTTTAGTCTTCATGTAAAAATCCCACCAAAATTGATTTCATAAAATAACTTCTATCTGGTTTTGCTCTCTTTTTTCAGTTATCTGTCTTTGAGCACAAACAGTTAAAGAACACCTGCAAGCACTGAGAAAAGATTCAGATAGAGCTGATAAGCCATCAGGAGCTAAGATCTGCCTCTTACCTCCCTAGCACTTAAAGGGAAACAGTGCTATCTCCACATTGTGCTGTGCATTTGTACTGTATGTGGGTAGTAAGGAGACTGCTCAAAGGAGAGTAGCAAATGTTAGTTGGAACTGAACTCTCCCAAGTCATAAGTAAACTGAAGTGAAAATTTCAAAATTAGCCTTGGTTGCCTAATGCTGCATGAAACCAGAAACCACAGGACCTGAGTTTCTTTTACCTCACTTCTAGTAAAGTATGTCATAGTTTTACAAAACTATGAAAAGATTTTTTTAAAGTGAAGATAGATTAAAAGACATACAGTCAATACTGTACTACCAAAAGCAATTTACAAGGTTAATGTTTTTCTTATTAAATCCAATGATAATTTTTGAAAAAGAAAAATATATCTTAACATTCATATGGAATGAACACCCAAAACAATCTTGAAAAAGAATACAGTTATTTTTGAAACTTATTACAGAATCATAGTAATCAAAACAAGCTTGATACTGTTACACAGACAGAAGTTCGGACAGAACAGAATTCAGAGACTATTAGCCCAACCAGAACTATGCACCAAGACCCTGTCTCAAAAACAAAAACAAAATATGCACTCAAAATCAAAGCACAAAATGTAATAGAACTCTTAGAAGAAATAGGAAAAAAGCTACATGACAATGGATTTGGCAACTGATGAGACACCAAAAGCATAAGCAACAAAAGAAAGAGTAGACAAACCAGATTTCATCAACTTTAAAAACAGCCATATATCAAACAACACTAGCAACATACTGAAAAGGTTACCTATAAAATGGGAGAAAATATTTGTGAATCATATATCTATTAATGCCTAGAACATAGATATTTGGTGGCGGGGGGAGACAGGTCTTCCTATAGCCACAGCTGATCTGGAACTCACTATGTAGACTAGGCTGGCCTTGATATCATAGAGATCTGCCTGCCTCTGCCTCCCAAGTGCTGGTATTAAAGGCATATGCCATCACACCCAGCATAGAACATATTTTTTAAAATTCAGCAACAATATAACAACACCCACATCATATAGAAAAATTGGGCAAAGGATTTTAATAAGAACTCTCCATCTCTAAGGACATGAAAAAATGGTCATCATGACTAATTAGGGAAATGCAAATTAAAACCAACTGAGATACTACTTTATACCCACAGATAGTTACTTAGGAAAATATATAGATAATAACAAGCTGGGGCCAGAGTTGGGGTTAGCAGTTAAAAGCAATGGCTGCTCTTGCAGAGGACCCAGGTTCAGTTCCCCAACATGATGGCTAACCACCATCCATAACTCCAGTTCCAGGAGATCTGATGCCCTCTTCTTTCCTCCTTGGGCATCGCATAACACACTTGCAAGTAAGATACTCATACACAAAAAAGAAAATCAAACAAAAAAGATATAACAGAAAATAACAAGTGTTTGAGAAAATGTAGAGAAACTGAAACTCTCATGCACTGCTAGTGAGAATATAAAATGGTAAAACCTCTGTAGAGGAGTCTAGCAGCTTCTCAAAATGTTAAACATACAATTCCAAATGGTCTAACATTTCTACTCCAGGCTAGTAGCTAAGAGAATTTAAAATAAGAACTTAGATACTTGTGTGGTAATGCTCATAGTAGCATTATTTGTAACACTCAAAAGGTGTCTATCAACAGATGGATAAAAAAAATGTGTATATGTGTGTGTCTGTGTGTGCGTGTGGCATATACATATATGAAATATAACCAAGCCATAAAAAGGAATGATGTCCTGATGGATGCAACAGCAAAGATAACCTCAAAATCATAAACCAATACTCACCAGAACTTGACAGTAAGACCCTATTGCTAAAGACACTACATCCATGAGTTGTAGAGCAAACAAAAAGAAATCAAGCTAGTACTGACCTCAAAGCTTCATCTCTACTGTCTAGCTTTCACAGTGCTGAAAGGTGTTATGCATGCTATCAAAAGAGAAAACTAATCATCAATCTTGCCCAGCTGTGAATCCTGCAAGCTACAACTGGCTTGGCAAGATAAGCCCACTCATATAATAGTGGCATAAATGTTACTGGAGTAGCCAACCATTTTCTGCTTGAATTTATGGTCCACTTCACAAAATGGAACCCATACCTGTCACTGAGACAAGGCCTAGGAACCTGTAGCTAGACAGATCACAGACGATGGGGGAAAGTCTGCCACTATTATTCTACTAAATGGATATAGTATTAAACCAACTTACAATGGTTTATTTTTATACCCATTAATTAATGCATCTCTCAGCTCTCACCAGAGAAGCTTCTTCATGCAGCAAATGGTGATTAATGGAAAAAAATCAATTAAAAAATTTTAATCATAAACCAATAGGTCTTGGGATGTATTTCTGTAGTAAGAGTGTTTGATAGTATGTTCAAGGCTCTGGATCAATCCCTGGCATCACACACACACACATACAAGGCTCTGGATCAATCCCTGGCATCACACACACACACACACACACACACACACACACACACACACACGCACACGTGTGCACAAACTACAAAAAGATAAATAAAAGAATAAATATTGCATGATTCTATTTATATGCATTATCTACAATGGCACATTCAAGGGACAGGAAATCAAATACAGGTTACACAAATAGAGAAAAGGAGATATTGCTTATGGTTTCCAGAGTTTCTATGGTGGGTGATGGAAAATTTTGGAAACAGGTAGTGGTAACAGTTTGGACAACTCTGTGAACGTATTTAAGGGACAGTGGTGAAGATTGCATGGCAATATATATATAGTACCACTAAACACCATTAAATAGTTAAAATAGTAAATACGTTATACAGATTTTACCCCAATTAAAAATTTATGAAGCCAGGGCTGGAGAGACGACTCAGCAGTTAAGAGAACTGGCTGCTCTTGCAGAGGACCTGGGTTTGGTTCCTAGCACCCACATGGTAGCTAACAGCTGTCCATAACTCCAGTTTTGGGGGATCTAACACCCTTTCCTGACCTCTGTGGGCACTGTATGACGGGTGCACTTACATACATCCTGGCAATACACTCATACAAATAAAATTTAAAAAAACATATTTTAAAAAATGAAGCCAAGAAAGGCTGCACACGCCTATAATCCCAGCAACTTGGGAAGCAGAGGCAGAAGGATCAAGAAAGAATACAAGGTCATCCTCAATTACAAAATGAGTTTACGGCCGGCCAAGGCTACACGAGATCCTGTCTCAACAACAAATTTATATAGATAGCATCTTTTCCTTAATCTTTATACGGATTAAAACAGCTTTATGAGGCCAGTGATATGGCTCAGTGTGTCAAAGCACTTACTCTGCAAGCCTGACCACTTGAGTTCAATCCCCAGAACCCAAATAAAGATGGAAGAAAAGAACCAACTCTGTAGAGGTCCTCTGACCTCTACATGTGTGTCATGGAATAACCCCCCCCATAATAAATAATATTAAAATAATTTTAAATAATCTTACAATATTTTCACATATAATACAGAATCTTAATTCAGAATGTCCATTTTCTCAAATTTTACTACAGGAATTAAAATTTACTATAGGCATTACTACAGGAAATATCTCTTCATAAACTTATTTTCTGGTTATCTTTTTTGGTAATGCTAAAGATTAAACTCAGTGTCATAAATGAGAGGCAAGCACTGTACCCTGAGCTAAATACCTAGTCTGTACTTCATTGACTAGATGCTTATAGGAGCTCTATTTAATGCTTGACTATTAAACTAAATATTAGATTCCTTATAATTAATGACAAATTAATAAAACAAGCTGAGAAATAAAAATACATTTTAAAAGCTTTGGTTACAGTACACACAAAATTGTATGTGTCAACATTAAGTACTATTATAATAATTATTTAAAGGACAGCCATAGTATCAATCTAGAAATAGAAATCACTAATGTACTTGGGTCAAGACTACCCTAGGATAACTAAGTAAGATCAAAATATTAAAGAGAATGTTAAAACAGAAGATCACAGCAATCATCTAATTCAATTCTTGGTATTACAGCAAACAAACATCAAGGAATAAACTGCTGCTAAAGTTAAACTTAGAGGTATTCCCAAAGCATTTCCCATGCTAGGTAAGAGCTTGGGGGGGGGGGGACCAGCAGCTCAAATTCATTACAAATAAGTAAATATCTTTGTGCATTTAAAAACCCCTAAAATGAGAAAATTGGGTATAATGGTAGTCAAGAATGAACGAGATGC